GTGTGTGTGTGTGTGTGTGTGTGTGTGTGTGTGTGTGTGTGTGTGTGAGTGACATATACTCACAGATAAGTAGGTAGGTAAGTAGCTAGGTAAGTGGATGGATGAATGGATGGATAGATAGATGATAGATAGATAGATAGATAGATAGATAGATAGATAGATAGATGAATGTATACAAAGACACACCTTTAGTCTTAGTGCTCTGGAGGCAGGACCAGGCAGATGTCTGTGTTCAAGGCCAGCCTGGTCTACAGAGTGAGTTCCAGGACAGCTAGGGCTACACAGAGAAACAGTGTCTCAAAAAAACAAAACCAACCAACCAGCCAAAGAAACAAACAAATAGGGTAGTTGAAGAATGGTGTGCCTTGGCAACAGATATCTTGCTGAGCATTCATGAGGCTCTGGGTATACGCTCTAAAACTGAAAAAAAAAAAAAAAAAAAAAAAGCTGCATATGGTTTTGGAATGCTTTTTCTTATTCCATGTGGACCTGTCATTTGTCTTGTTTTTATTCCCAGCCACAAATATTGCATTGTAGGGCTGGGCACTGTTTAGCCTGTCAGCCATTAACCACATATGGCCAAATTAAACTATCCCTATAACCCTATAACCCCAGCACTTGAGAAGATGACACAGGAGGATCGAGGGTTCAAGTCCACCGTAGGCTGTACAGCAAACCCCTGCTTCAAGAAGCAAATGAACAAAATAGCAAAACAAAGAAAGGACAATTAGCCTGGCATGGTGGTGCACACCTTTGATCCCCGCACTGGAGAGGCAGGCGAATCTCTGTGAGACCCATGCCACCCACAGCTACACAGCGAGACCTTGTCTCAACAAAACAAGTAGCCGCAACCAAATCGAAGCAAGGTTCTGGGACACTAGCCTGTAGACATGGGTACCTGGGAGGCTGGGGAAGGAGGGGTCATTAGAGCCCAGGAGATCGAGGCTACGGAGGATCAAACAAAGGGTCTCACCTATGCTGAGCTATCCCCAGCTTTCTTCTTTCTGTTTTTGGTTTTCTTCGTCTCCCTCTCTGTCTGTCTCTGTCTCTGTCTCTCTCTCTCTGTTCCTCTGTCTCTCTCTCAGACAAGGTTACACCATGTATCCTAGACTGTACTTGAACTCGAGGCATTCCTCCTGTCTCAGTGTCCGAAATGCTGGGGTTGCAGGTATGAGCCACACTCTGAATGGCTTTAATTTTTATTTATTTATTTATTTATTTTTATGTACAGCTCACTAAGTTGCCTAGGGTAGTTGGGGTGACAAGCCTGTGCCACTAGGTTCTGCTCATGTCTCTTACATTGGTGGGGTTGGAGAAGCTGGTGAGATGGCCCAGAGGTTGAGGGTACTTGCTGCTCTTGCAGAGGACCTGAGTTCAGTTCCCAGCACCCACATGGAAGCTCACAACTTCAGTTCCAGGGGATCTGATAACCTCTTCTGGCCTCCATAAGCACAAATACCCACACACATAAAATAAAATTATTTTTAATTTCAATTAAATATTTTAAGTCAATTTTGTTTTAAGCTCATATTTTTACTCATATTCCATCTTCATGCAGGATGGAAGTCCTATGACTAGAGTTGCCATGGCTACACAGGTGCACAGCGGCTCCACATACTAAGCTCCTTAAAAGGGGTTTGTTTTAGGCTGTAGAGATGGCTCAGAGGTTAAGAACACTGGCTGTTCTTCTCAAAGGTCCTAAGTTCAATCCCCAGCAACCACATGGTGCCTCACAACCACCTATAATGAGATCTGGGGCCCTCTTCAGGCCTGCAGACAGGGTACTGTATGAATAATACATAAATGTATCTTTCCAAAAAAGTGCTTGTTTCTTACTTACTTACTTACTTACTTTATTTATTTATTCATTTATTTATTTATTTACTTATTTAATTTACGTGTATGGGTGTTTTGCCTTCGTGTCTGTCTGGGCACCATATGCATGCCCAATGCACATGCGCCACCACACTGGACTTTAATTTTTAAATATGTGTATGTGCATGTGTTGTAGGTGCCCAAAGAGGCCAGAAAAGGCATCAGATCCCCTGCAATTGGAGTTACTGACATTCGGGAGCCACCATGTGGGTGCTGGGAATCCAACCTGGGTCCTCTGGAAGAGCATCCAGTGCCCTTAAGCACGGAGCCATCTCTCCTCCTACCCGAGTAGTGCTTGTTTCAGTGGGCCAAAGTCTAGGCACATACACCTTCCTGTCAGATATTTGGATGGTATTACAATCTGTGAAACAAACAAACAGAAACAAAGAGAGCTTTTATTGCTATTTTATATTGTTCTGGGGAGTCAAAGCCAGGACCCTCCACGCAATAGGAAAGTTTTACTATCATTCATCTACATTCCAGCTACACAAGGAATACTCCCCCTGTAACTCCAGCTCTGGGGTCTCCAGCACCCTCTCCTGGCCTCTGTGGGCACCTATAACTCCCGTGCACATACACACATTTAAAAATTAAAGTCCAGCGTGATGGCACATGCCTCTAATCCCAGCATTAGAGATGCAGAGGCAGTGGCTCTCTTTGAGTTCAAGGCTGGTCTGGTGCATATAGTTCCAATCCAGCCAGGGCTACCCAGTGAGACTCTGACATAAAAAAAAAAAAATGTGGTAGGGGGAAGGAAGGCAGCAAAACAAAACAACTTTCATGCCTAGTCATACCTAGATAACTCTTGCCATCTCCCACAGTAGTCACTAGTCCCCACACCCAGGCTACACGGGAGCCTGGAGACTTTGATCCTTGCTTATCTGCTTGGAAAGTAATGGTGTTGGTGATAGTTTTACCTTCAAAGTCACTTCTGTGTCCTGGAATAAAACAAGGACCTCGTTAATTATCATTCTTGGCAGAGTCACTTCAAATGTGGAAACTGTCTCTGGAAGCTTGTCTCTGCAGGGGGACTTTGCTCCCAGGGAGGGTGGCTCATATTGACACATTGCCTCCTGTAGTACCAGGATGAACTGTGCAGAGGAAACAGGACCGCAGGAGGCCATCGAAGGCACAAACCATCTTTAAAGAAACGGTGTGTGCGTGTGTGTGTGTGTGTGTGTGTGTGTGTGTGTGTGAGAGAAAGAGAGAGAGAGAGAGAGAGAGAGAGAGATTTCAGTTGGGGACCTTGTGACTAAGCACCAAGCATCTATTGGCTTGAAGGGATTAATGAGGGGTTGCCCTTTCTTAGCTGCCCTTGTGAGGAGCAGCTGATGACCGGGCTCCCTTGACTTAGCTGGTCTGTGTGACAGAAAAGTCACTGTGGTGTCTGTTTCTCCAGCAGCACCATTCTCACAGTTATGAGTGGAGAAACATCCCGAGAGAAACAGATCAGAATGTGGGCCCAGCCACCGGTCCAGTGCAACCTTAATTGTTAGTGTGACCTAACCCAAGGTCATCTGAAAGAAGAGTCTTGATTGAGGAATTTCCTAGATCAAATTCATCCAATATCAAATTGGATATGTTTGTGGGGCATTTGTCTTGATTGTTAATTGGCGCAGGAGTACCCAGCCCACTGTGGGTGGCACCATTCTCTAGGCAGGTGGTTCTGGGCTATGTGAGGAAGCTGGCTGAATTCGAGCCTGTGAGTGAACAGCAAGCAGCCTCCTCCACGGTTCCAGCCCTGACTTCCCTAGCAAACATGAGCAGAAACAAACCCTTCTCTCCCCTAAGTTGTTTTGGTCAATGTTTTATCACAGAAAGAGAAGGGAGGCTAGGACACCTCCCACCCCTGGACTCTCATTCCAGAACCCTGTTTCCTGTGGTGGTGAGGGGACCCAGGACCTCATTCATCCCAACTCATGCTCCGCCACTGAGCCACGTTCCAGTCCTCACTCATCCTTGAAGCGAAGGACATTTGACCCAGTCTGCGGTAAGTAGACTCCCAGGACACCCTGCTGCTGAAGTCCTTCTGGCAGGGAATAGAACATATATATAAGGTGCTTGGAGCACACAGCTTACTGGAACAGAGTGGAGGGGGCTGCGGCTGTGCAGGGGGAGGGTCTTTGCATTTCAGGGTGCAGAGCTTCAGTCTGGGGAGATGGAAAAGTTCTGGGGATGAGTGGTGGGGAGGATCATGGGTATGCTTAAATTACCCGCTGGAATGTAGGGTCTATGTTCTAAGGCAGTGGTTCTCAATCTGTGGGTCGGCTGACCCTTTCACAGAGGTCGCACATCAGACATCCTGCATATTGGATATTCACATTACAACTCATAACAGCAGCCAAATTACAGTTATGAAGTAGCATGGACAACAATCTCATGGTTGGGGCCACCGTGAGGCAATGTATTAAAGGGCTGTAGCATTGGGAAGGCTGGGAACCACTGTTTTAATTAATGGAAGCCTGCTGACCGTTGGGTAGATCATGAAGCAGGCTGAAGTGATCACCACCAGCCTCTGTGGTGTGTTTATATGCTCGTGGCCAGGAGGAGAAAGTCATAAGTCCTCTGCAGGAGCAGCCAGTGCTTTTTTTTTTTTTTTTTTTTTAATTTTTTACTTTCATTTTATTTTTCCGAGACAGGGTTTCTTTCCGTAGTGCTGGGACTCACTCTGTAGAGCAGGCTGGCCTCAGATTCGTAGGGATCCTCCTGCTTCTGCCTTCTGAGTGCTGGGATGAAAGGCATGTGCCGCCACCACCGGCTCGGCAGCCAGTGCTCCTCAGCACCGGGCTGTCTCTGCAGCCGCCTCTTCTGCCTTCTTGACTGTGGTGGGCAAGTCTTCCCTGCTTCACTCTGTCCTCTTCCTCTTTCCACACTCCAGCTTCTATTGGCTACCAGGTCCTCCTTCAAAATGCCCCCCTGGTTCTTGGCCCTCTCTTGCCTCCAGTGCCCACAGAAGATCCAGTGTGGCTTGGCAGATTGTCAAGCCCCGCCCCAGGTTTCCCACGAGGGCCAGAGGCTGTCCATTTTGTCTCTCGCCCCCTTCCCCGAGACCCTGGCTTTATTTCTTCACCCCGGTATTGTGTTGCACCCTGAGGGGATCAAAGTTTGAAAGTCAGCACCCAGCACCTGCCCTCCACAGCCCTCCTCTGCCCACCTGAGCACTACCTTTTTTCTCTCGGTACTTCCCCACAGTAACAGACCAGGCCCTGTCTCAGGCCCTTTGTGCCTACGGCTCTGCTACCCAGAATGCTCTACTTTGCTTGTCACTTCTCAACCACTTCTTTTTGTTTCTGATCATACTTCCTCTTGACCGGGTATGGTGGCCCATGCCTTTAATCAGGTGGATCTCAGGGACTCTGAGGCCATCTTGGTTTACATAGTGAGTTTCAGGCCAGTCAGGGCTACATAGTGATACCGTGTCTCAAAAAAGTAGCAACAACAAAAAAGAAGCCTTCTAGGAGGGCTAATCAGCCTCCAAGATGCCTCCTTCCTAATCGCCTGGACCATGCTACTTCATGTATGGAATGAGACTCTTCTATTTCTTTTCTCACTGAAGACCTGAGGTACCCCAAACAAATCTTACCTTCCTTGCCTTTTTTAAAAAATTAATTTACTTTACATCCAACTGAAGTTTCCTCTTCCCTCTCTCCTCCCAGTCCTCCCCTTCACCTCATCCACTTCTCCCTTTCTCTTCGGAAAAAGGGAGGCCTCCCATGGATATACACCAGCCTTAGCATATCAAGTTGCAATATGACTAGGTGACTCTTCTCTCACTGAGGCTATCAAGGCAGCCCAGTATGCAGAAAGGGTCCCAAAGGCAGGCAACATCATCAGAGACAGCCCCTGCTCCCACAAGAAGACCGAGCTGCACAACAGAGGGCCTAGGTCAGGGGCGGGCATGTTCCCTGGTTGGCAGTTCGATCTCTGAGGTCCCCTACGTGGCCAGATTAGTTGATTCTGTAGGATTACCCTCCTTGGCTTTTTATGGCTGGTTTATTTTGCTTTTCGTTAGGGTTCATTCATATTGCAGCTAGTGACCATGTTTCCTTTCTTTTCAAGGCTGAGTAATATTCTATGGTGCTGATGGGCCACATATACTCAGTCAGCCACTGGGACCGAGCATATGCCTGGGCCGATGCTACTTTCTGGTTCATAAATAGTATGGCTGCTGATGTGACTAACAGATGTGTCTTTGACACTTTATATGGTAGATTTTGTGTCACTGTGAGACAACACCTGGCAGAAATAACCTGATAGACAAGGATTTACTTTATTTGTGGTTTCAGAGGTTTCGGTCTATCAATTAAAGAAGTGTGCAGGGAGCAGTTCGTAAAGGTGGACAGGAAATGATGACAGGAAGTGCCCTAGGCAGATACAGCCCCCAAGGATACACTCCAGGCATTTGTCTCCACCAACCAGGCTCAGCCTCTCAGAAGTGTCCTCAAACTTCAAGTCCATCCACGGGTTAAAACAATGATCAGTTCAGAGTCCTCAAGCCCTAACCAGCTCTGGAAACTCCCTCATGGACACACCCCAAGGTGGCTTAGCTAATCTCATAGGCATTCCTTAATCCAATCAGTTCAGGTCACCAGTCAGGATCAGCTGTGGCACCTGGCCTCCAGCACTTAGAGCTGTGCAACCAGAAAGGGGGTGAAAAAGGTCCCCACAAAACATGTTTTGAACTGAACGTATGAGACAGGGGGAGGGGATGCAGAACAGTGCACTGGGCATGTGCAGAATGCTATCTTGGCATTAGCCCTAGCACAATCTGCCAGCTGTTTGTGTAGAAGCGCCACAGTGTCAGGAAAAATAAGCAGACAAGATGTGAATGGAAGCATAAAAGAGGACATGAGAGGACATGTGGAGCCAGCAAGAGGGCTGGCCGGATGCTTGCTGCCAAACCCGAGTTCAATCTCTGGGACCTGCAAGTTGTTCTTTGATCTTCTACCTATGTGCCTTACATGTGTGCATGTGCACGCATATATAGTCTCTCTCTCTCTCCCTCTCTCTCTCTATCTCTCTATATATAGTAAGACTCTATCTCAAACAGTATATATAGAACAGGCCTTTAATTTATGGAGATCTGCCTGCCTCAGCTTCCTGAGTTGCCAGGATTGCTAGATTATCACTACCATGCCTGATAGAAATACAGACCTCTGGAAAAAATTTTATTGTGTGCACAGAGGGGGAGGGTATATAGCACACGGAGAACAGCTTACAGGAGCTGGTTCTCTACTTCCGCCATGTGGGTCCCAGGAATGGAGCTCAGGCTTGGTACCCTTGGATTCTGGTATCTGGAGTGGTTCAGCGGGATACTTTCAGAAACCAGTGTTCAGCAGATGTGAGGATGGATGACCTCACTCCCAGAAGGGAAATAATCCTTTCTCATGGGGAACAGACAGACAAAGCAAATCTTACATGACCCAATACCCTGGCCTGAGAATGTCCCACAAATGTCAAATTTAACCCTTTAGGAGGTGAGTGGATCTTGAGACACAGCTCTTGCCTGACTGGATGAACAGATGAATGGATGTCTGAGGAACAGGTTTCTTTCTTTCTTTCTTTCTTTCTTTCTTTCTTTCTTTCTTTCTTTCTTTCTTTCTTTCTTTCTTCTTTTTTTTTAGACAGGGTTTCTCTGTGTAGCCTTGGCTGTCTTGGACTTGCTGTGTAGTGCAGGCTGGCCTCGAACTCATATCAATTCTCCTGCCTTTGCCTCCCTGAGTGCTAGGATTAAGGGCTTGCACCACCATGCCTGGCAGCACTTTTAAAAATCTATCTATCTATCTATCTATCTATCTATCTATCTATCTATCTATCATCTATATGATTTAATTTTATTTATGTACTGTGTGAGGTGGGTGCTGACAGAGACCAGAAGACAGAGCAGGGTTCTGGGAACTGAACCCTAAGTCCTCTGCAAGAATAGTAAATGCTTTTACCACTGAGCCATCTCTCCTGCCCCAAACACAGTGCTCTGTGATGGAAGAGAACTTCCTCTGCCTTGGTCTGCCTCACCATGTGCCCTGTGGTGCTTTGAGACTTAGCAGGAAGTCCCCAGCAGCAAGCCTGGCACGGCCCCTCCACTGTGAATGTTCAAGCCTCTTGAAGCATAGGAAGCATGCTTCCTTTTGTCAAATATACGAAAAGATTATTCTTTTAAATTCCTGTTTATTGGGGACCAGGGGAGCATGGGTGCCATGGAGTGTGAGAGGAGATCAGATGTTGAATTGGTTCTCTTTTCTTTTTTTATTAATTAATTTATTTTATGTACATTTGCATAATGTACATATTTGTCTGTGTGAGGGAGTTGGATCCACTGGAATCCGAGTTACAGACAGTTGTGAGCTGCCATGTGGATGCAGGGAATTGAACCCCGGGTCCTCTGGAAGAGCAGCCAATGGTCTTAACCACTGAGTCATCTCTCCATCCCCTGTTTTCTCTTTTCATCTTTACAGGGGTCCTGGAACGGAACTTAAGCTGTCAAGCTTGTGCATCATGAGCTTTACCTGCCTGGCCTTCTCATCAGCCCATTTGGGCTAAAGATATGGCTTTAGTGGTTAAGAGTACTTGCTGCTTTTGCAGAGGACCACATAGGGGCTCACAACTGCCTGTAACTCCAGTTCCAGAGGATCTGATGCCCTCTTTGTCCCTGAGGGCACCAGATACATACAAAGTAAATGCAGACACTTATATACACATGTAAAATAAATAAGGGCTGGAGAGATGGCTCAGTGGTTAAGAACACTGGCTGTTCTTCCAGGGGACCTGGGCTCAATTCTCAGCACTCACGTGGCAGCTCACAACTGTCTGTAACTCTAGTTCCAGGAGCTCTGACACCCTCACACAGATACATGCAGGCACAACAGCAAAGCACACAAAATAAAAATAAATAAATCATTTAAATAAAATAATTAATCTTTTTATGTTTGTTTATTTTTTTCAAGACAAGATTTCTCTGTTTAGACATGGCTGCCATGGAACTTGCTCTGTAGACCAGGCTGGCCTTGAACTTAGAGATCCACTTGCCTCTGCCGCCTGAGTGCTGGGATTAAAGATATGCTCTACCATGCCCAGCCTTAAATCAACTTTTTTAAAGTGCAAATTTAAAGCTGAGCATGCCTATAATCCCAGCACTTGGGAGGCAGAGGCAGGCTGATCTCTGTGAGTTCGAGGCCAGCCTGGTCTACAAAGTGAGCCCAGGACAGCCAGGGCTACATAGAGAAACTTTGTCTCAAAAAACAAACAAACAAGGTACAAATTTAGTGATGAGTCTCTGGACACAGGTTCTAAAATCAAATGCTGGAAGAGCAGTATGCACTGTTAACCACTGAGCCATCTCTGCAGCCCCTTATACTGCAGGACGTAGGACCCAGGGCAGCTGGAATGTTTGCCCCAAGCTCTGCCACTGAGCCACACTGGGCAATGGCTCTGTTCTGGAGAAGGCGTTGATCTGAGCATGCCTGCTGGTCACAGTGTGAATGGAAGAGTTCCTGTTTCGTTCTGTAAAGAGGAACTCGATTCCTCCCTGGAGCTGTGCACTGGCAAAGCTCTGATTTCACTTCTTCATTTTTCGGAGTCCATAGGAAGAGAAATGAGGGGAAGCTGGAAGCACTGGCACATGGGGGACTATTCAGTCTGCAATGCAGATGTGCAAGGCTGGGTGCCGTGAGGGTTCTGGACCACCATATTCCTATCTCCTTCCACTCTCAGAGAGCCCAGGTTCTGGGGAACACGCGTTAAAGTGTCTGCTATGCAAACATGAAGGCCTGCATTGCTTCCCCAACCTGTAAAAAGCCAGGTGAGCCCCTGGGGCTCCCTGGTCAGCCAGCCTGGCTCAGTTCAGGAATTCCGCAGTACAGGGAGAGACCATCAGAAAGCAAGGTGGATGGCTCCCAAGGAGCAACCCTGGGACTGCCCTCTCGTATCCACACACATGTTACATACCTTCACACACACACACACACACACACACACACACACACACACACACACGCTCCATAAAAGTTAGATGTCTCTCAGCTTTTATGGGAGAGCTGTGTGATCCAAAATTTGTGTTTGATCAACAAAGGCAAGGGATGGCCATGGTCCTGGACCCAGCAGACGTGATGCCTCAAAACTGTTCTGAGCAGTGTTAAAGCAGAGGGCAGTGCCAGGCAGTGGTAGAGCGCACCCACTTTAATCCCAGCACTCGGGAGGCAGGGGCAGGCTGATCTCTGTGAGTTCCAGGCTAGCCTGGGCCAGCCTGGTCTACAGAGTGAGTTCCTGGACAGCAAGGGCTAAAACAGACAAACCTTGTCTCAAAAACAACAACAAAAACCCACAAACAAACAAACAAACAAACAAACAAACTCCCTAAAACAAAACAGAAATAAAAGGGGGGGGGAGAGTGGCTTTCTGCACTGCCAGCTGCTTCTGCATTGGGAAATGAGAGTGAACTTCTTGTCCGATGTGTTGGAGCTGTTGTGACTTTGGGTCTTACAGTTTCTACTCTCTCTCTCAGCTATAACAAAACACTCAAGGCAGGCTGTCTTTACAAAGGAAAGAAGAGGAGGGTGTGATAGCTCAGCACTAACTGCTCTTCAGAGGACTCAGGTTCAGTCTCTAGGACCCTCATGGCAGCTCACAATTATCTGTAACTCCAGTTCCAGGAGACCTGGTGCCCTCCTCTGACCTCTGCATGGCACCAGACAGGCTCATGGGACAAAGACAGGCATTCAGGCAAGCGCTCATGCACAGATAATAACACATGGATTTATTAAAACGTTTTAAAAAGGAATCACAATTTAAAAAAAAAAGACGCTCCCCTTGAAGGGTGTGAGTTTGAGGCTATCACGGCGGTCTGCTCTGCGTAGCGTGAGCTGGGTGTCTGCCTTAGTTCCTCTTCTCTTGCTGTGAAGAGACACTATGATCAAGGCAACTTTTATTAAAAAAAAAAAACATTTAATAGGGGCTTGCAGTTTCAGAGGTTAGTTCATTGTCATCATGGTAGGGAGCGTGGTGGTATGAAGGTAGACATGGTTGGAGAGGAGCTGAGAGTTCTACATCCTCATCCATAGGCACAAGAGAGAGAACGAGATGGGGCTTGGCATGAACTTTTGAAACTTCAAAGCCCACCCTAGTGACACACTTCCTCCAACAAGGCCACACCTCCTAATTTTTCTAATCCTTTCAAATATTGCCACTCCTTGGTGGCTAAGGATTCAAACATATGAGCCTCTGGGGACGATTCCTGCTCAGACCACCACACTGGCTAAGCAAGTGAGGTGGTCTTAGGCCACTAGGTTCCCTCACACCTTAAGGCTGTCCAGCATGAGGACACTCGAATCAGGAGCCTTGGGGTTAGAACTCACCTTCTTATTTGCTGGTTTTACAGCTTGCATTATAACACTAACATAAGGTATCTGGAAATACCCACTTCCCTGTGTGTAGCAGAGATGAGGTTGACATCTGGCCCCTGGGATGTATGTTGGGAGAAAACAAATACGAAGCTCTGAGCACTGAGGTGTCACTCCAGAATACAATCCTTAGTAACCCACAGAAGAGCAAAGTGAAAAAAGTAGGGGAGCTAGCTGGGTGTGGTGGCATATACCTGTAACCCCAGCACTCGGGGCGACAGAGGCAGGCGGTGGATCTCTGTAAGTTCCAGGCCAGCCTGGTCTACAAAGCAAGTCCAGGGCAGCTAAGGCTCCACAGAGAAACCCAGTCTTGAAAAACTAAGAACTAAAAACAAAAAGAAAGAAAGAAAGAAAGAAAGAAGGAAGGAAGGAAGGAAGGAAGGAAGGAAGGAAGGAAGGAAGGAAGGAAGGAAGGAAGGAAAGGAAGGAAGGAAGGAAGGAAGAAAGAAAGAAAGAAGAGGACAATAAGAATCGGGGAGCTAGTAGTCCTGGGCAGCCTCACACTCTCGGCACATCTGCTTCAGACACTGAGGGCTGCATTGCATGCACGGGCCACCTCCCTCAACTGCAAAACCTGAAAAATTGTCCTTTTCAGGCTGACAGAATCAGGTGCTGGAGTGGAACAGTCACGGGTGTCCTAGGCCCTCAAATGCAATGCAGGCTAAGATGGGATGGGGAGGCCCGGGGTCTGGGGTAACAAAGAGCCACAGGCTGGATTAAAACGGCGGAAAGGGGCTGGTGGGCTTCTTAGCATGCACAGAGCCCTGGGGCTGACCCTAGCACTGCATAGACCAATGGCAGTGGCTCTCAACCTTCCTAACCCTGCAGCCCTTTAATGCAGTTCCTCATGTTGTGGTGACCCCAACCATAAAATGATTTCTGTTGCTACTTTATAGCTGTAATTTTGCTACTGTTATGAATCGTAATGTAGATATCTGATATCTCCAATGGTCTTAGGGGACCCCTGTGAAAGGGTCAGTGGACACCCAACGGGGTCACGCCCCACAGGTTGAGAACCACTGACTTAAGGAGTGGTGGCACATGCCTGCAATACTAGCACAAGGGAGGGGGAGGCAGAAGGGCGGGAAGTTCAAGGCCAGCCTGGGCTATCTAGTGAGTCTGAGGCCAGCCTGCATACAATATCAACAACCAGATACAAGCTCGGGAACTGTTCTCTCCCAGTCTAGAAGCCTGAAATCCAGGTGTGGACAAGCTTCCAGGGTGTGAACCTTTGTACCTCCTGAAACCTCTAAGGCAGTGGCTCTCAACCTGTGGGTCGTGACCTCCATGAGAGGGTCAAATGATCCTTTCACAGGAGTCACCTAATGTTTACATTATGATTCATAACGGTAGCAAAATTAAAGTTATAAAGTAGCAATGAGAATAAATTTATGCTTGGGAGTCACCACAACAGGAGGACTATATTAAAGGGTCGTAGTGTTAGGAAGGTTGAGAACCACCGGCCTAAGGGATCCAGGGCTGGTGGGGGGCTCAGGGCCACCTGGCTTGCAGATGTGCCCCTCCAACCTCCCCCATGGCCACCTCTTGGCCTTCCTTAGGGGAGCATGGTGGGGCGGGGTTTCGATCAGGGCCGTCTAGTCCAATGTCATTTCTCGACTCAGTGGCATCTACAGAGCCCTATCCCAGATGAGGCAATATCTGAAGTGCCGGACATGACGTGGACATATCTGTGGGGGTCAGGAGGACATAGTTCTACAGAAGAATTCAAGAAACAGCAAAACCAGAAGAATCTGAGGGGTGGGGGAATACGTGCTGAGAGGCACCCTGACAGCACAGCACTCCAGTCTGTCTGTCTCTCTCTTTGGGTTTCTTTCTTTCTTCCTTTCTTTCTTTCTTTCTTTCTTTCTTTCTTTCTTTCTTTCTTTCTT